AAGATTGCACCCATCATTGTTCTATAACAATAATGAGGATGTGAGTACTAGGAAAATCTGAGCAATTTATCTTGTTTTATAAGGGGAAAAAGTTCTCCAAATTTTCAGGCATTCCTGATTAAAGATAATGGAGGAAAAAGGCAATAATTTTAAGAAGCACTAGTCTGTGACTCCCATCATATGAATAATGCAAGCTATAGGGAGTTGTGTTCCTTGTGGTTGGAGTTTCTTCTGTGATCCTTCAATGCTCATTCCAGTATTTCTGCTTCCTTCCATTAAACTTCTTCTTTGAAGAAAAAAAGAGGGCTGCCAAAATGGTAATTTGGGCTAATTCTGTGGCTATCTCCATCCCAAATCTCTCTCAGCCTTCCCAAACACTTGCTGAACTGACTGTGTCTTACCTATTCTTCCAGTGTGCTTTTATAGCTCATGGCAAACTGATGAGATTTGGCTTCACCTGTATAACTGAGAAAAGCTGTACTTTGGTTCTACTCTAGCAAAACTATCCATTGTGGTGGATGCCCTGAACATTAGCTGCAACCAGCCCTCACTTAAAGGAACTGTCCTGAATGTAGTTTACATCGTTTGTGCATTCATATAGTTTGGATCACTCCCTGGTTAGTAAAGATCATTATCCTTAAAAGGGAATAAAAGGAAATCTGTAATTTCTAGTAATATTTTCCCTTGTAACCATGTTGCAGAAGAAGGGAGCGTGGATCGTTGTAATAATTTACAGGTTTGTTTTAAGGACAATTTATTTGCAAATGCTGAGTTGTCCTTCCAGAATACATCCCAGTTTCTGGTTTACTAATTTTTGCCTGTTTGTGGTTTGCATTCCAGCTATTCCTGTCGGTAGCTGATTTCCCCCATCTGTTGCTGAATTTTCACATAAACCTCTTTCTTTAGCATATGTTTGGATAGAAAGGACTAAATATGTTAATCTTTATTCCTGGCTTCTGCCTTTTAAAAACGTTTAATTTGACCCCTGATGGCAAAACTATCTATTCCTCCCTGTCAAATTTTCCATGTGCCTTAATTACTGTTATCCTTCTGTAACTGTAAAAAGGTGAATCTCATGATATTTCAGTGAATGTTGAAGATAATGATGGTTAGGTTTTGTAGAGCTATTTTTTTCTCTTTAAAATTGGTGTAATTTGTTTTAATGAACTCATTCTGACTATATTTTACCAAATGGATTTTAAACTGCTACAGATTATGTTTGCTTCAAAAAATGTATAGTTCAAGTGTGAGCTAAAAATCTCACTTATTTAATGTCAGGATGACATTACATGATGTTGATTCCTATAGCAGTATAATATAACTTTACATCCTTTCCCCCTTAGGGTCAAAAACACTTTAAAACCATTAATTATCTCAGTCTCGCAAAACACCCATAGGAAGTAAATGAATATTTATTCCCACGTGACAAGTGAGAACATGGAGGCATAAAAAGGATGTAGCTAATTCTTTTTTTTTTTTTTTAAAGCCACTAAATTTCCAAGCACCCAAGCTGAAACATGCTGGGCCTGATACTCAGAGCTGTTGAGCACCCATAGCTCATTGATTTCAGAAAATGCTGCATATGTTCAACAGTTTTGAAAACGAGGACCAAGATATCTAGCACAAGTCAAACTGAAGCCGCTTGACATACGTGGTACCTGTGGAAAATTTTGGATTTGGAAACATGATATGCAAAAAAAAATCTATGACAGTTTAAGGAAGAACTCCTAACACCCCCTTCCCCTTCCCCGCCCCCCTTACACACCTCAGGCACCAATCGTAGAAAAGTCCTTCCTTCTGTGTTTGATCAAGTTATTTTTACTTTTTTACTCAAAAAGGGCAAACCTTCCCCTTTCAAATACGTAGCAAACAGAAAAGGCTCCCAACTTCTGAGCTGTTATTTTAAGAGAGTCAAAAGGGTGAGTCAGCAATGGTGAGAGATGTTTTTACAAAATAAGGGAAAAGATTATTAGGCTGAAAAAAAAAAACAAAAAACCCCGAACAGCCGCATATCAATGGAGGAACCAAGAGAAACTAGGATGACCTGTAAATCTTGAGCTACTTTCTATTGTCCTGGCATCAGGTCTTCTCTGACCGACACGGAAGGTGACTGGCATGCTTCTGTTAGTGAAGAAAGTAAAGGGTTGTTTTTTTTCGGGGAGTTATCATAGATCCCCTGGGGTATATATATGAAAAACTAATGGCAAATAGAAAAGATCTACTGGATCATGAAGTCTTTTCTCCTTTCATGAGCCGTTCAACAAAGCGTTTAAGCACGTGCTTAAGTCCCACGCAGTTAAGCGCTTTGTTGTAACACAGACTTCATTCACAGGCAGGAGGTACACTTCATCCAAAAGACAAAAAGTGAGGCGTACAAGTACATCTTCAGCAATTGCCCCTGTACAACGTACAGCGCACATAAAACTGCGGGTATTCCGGAATAAATCTCTCTTTTAGATGTAGTGACCCTCACGTATTTAAATCAAGTCAAACAGGATGAAATCAGATGAAAGCCGGATTTTCTTTCCCCGTTCATTTTTTGTGGTTTGGAGGTTATTTTAGTAGGTTTACGAATATGACACTCTTCTTTCTGTTTCTTAAAAGTCTCTTCTGTCTGATCTACATGGTGACATCTGAAGTGCTTGAGGGAGCCAGTTACACAACTGTAGCCCCACACGTGACTATAGCACGGGGCGACCTGGCGGAGGTGGGGTTGAGAAGCGATGATCTCGAGCCCGTGATTCAAGACCCCGGCTCACAGCAGCGCACAACGGGAGGCTGAACTTTGTTTTAAGTATATCCGAGGACGGCTGCGTTGTAGCTGCGTGCCTCCGATGCGCAGGGTCTCCTTGGGATTCGTGAAGCGCGGCTTTGAATGCTGGTTGCTTCTGTAAAAAAATATAGATTAGATGCCCTATGATTTGTCCAGCTACTTTGTCTTCAGTGGCAAGGTTTCTCGTCTGTCGGTTTCAGGCAAAGAACAAATTAACCAGGGTAAAATCCCGCCGTGGATGCTCAAGTCATTTCCTCTGCGAGGAAATCAAATACGAATGAACCCCTCATGTGCGCGCACAGCTTAGCCCTGCAGCTCTTGGTGGTGTAAAAATCACATCGTCGAGCGCAGCTTTGCCTGAGAAGGCGCCGAATATGGCCCCACAGTGAACAAGCAGAGGCTCTTTTCCTTATTTCTCTGCCGGGCAGAGGCTTCAGCGGTGGCTCCCCCCTGGACTGCGGGAATGGAGAGGCCGGGATCATCCAATTTCTTAGGAGAGGGTCTGACACGTTCCTAAAGTCCCGCTGGAAATTGACTAAAATCCCCCCGGAAATTGACAGGAACGGATTGAAATCGCAGCTGGCTCAGAGAGGCGGCGTGTGGGGTTTAAGGCAGGTGGGAACAGGCTCCTTCTTGTGTCTCCCCGCCGGAGGAAGCATCCAGCTCCTGGAGCAGAGCAGGGAGCTGTCTTCCTCCACCTGCTCTGGGGAGGGGGTGGGGGAGCAGGTTGAGAAGCGGGGGGAAAAATCCCAGCGCTAGGGTTTAACAGATGGGGAAAGGAGAATGTACGAGGCAAATCTTTTGTTCGCCGCCTGCACTCGTGGTGTCAATCTTTGTGCTTCCAGTCGTTTACCATGTCTGTCTGTCGGGCTTACGGGCAACATAAGGGGTGGGGAAATCAGCTCGCTCCCATGTCAGAGCCTGAGTCGAGATCCCTGTGCTCCCGTTTTGCTCTAGCTGGGCGCTAACAGCGCTCCTCTGCCGCGTGGGGAAGTGAGTGTTCCTCATCCCTGGCCACTTTGGTGCTGAATAGCGGAGGAGGCGAGGCTCTGCGCTTCGTCCCTGTCCAGCCCCGCAACCCGCTGCGTGGTGCGGGGCTGCTCCCGGAGCCTGCCGCGCTCCGTCCTCCGCGGGGGGTTACAGGAATGGGGAGCGGAGGGGTGCTCAGGGCTCCCTTTCAACCCACACGGCAGAGAGCTGGGCGCACGGGCGCACGGGAGCCGGGAGGAGGGCGGGCAGGGAAGCGATGAGGCGGCTCCATCAGGGTTGCCCCGCGCCGGAGGGGCGCTCCCTGCTCTGTGCGCCCCGGGGAAGGCTGAAGGCAGGCGGCATGCCGCGCGGGGAGCCGCACGCAGCTTGTGGTACTTGCTTGGGACCACCTCGAGCCGCGCGTGTCCCTGCGCCAGGCGTAGGGGGCTCCCGCACCGCCGCCTGCATCGGTCTCGGGGGAGCCGGGTGCACGGGCCCTGCGCGGGCCAGCTCTGCTGCTCGTACACGGGGCTGGGGCTTCCCGGCCTCGGCGAGCCGAAGCGGCGGGACCCAAACCAGCCGCTCGCTCGCTCCCTCGGGCCGGGCCAGGCCGGGCAGGGCAGGGGCGATCGCGTCCTTCCCGCCCCCCCTGCAGCCGGCTGAAAGGCAAGGGGGGAGTCGCAGGTGACTTGTTCCAATTAGTGCCTGTCTAATTCAATTAGTGTCAGGCGCCTCAGCCAATGGGCCGCGCGTGGGGCGCTGCAAGCCCCGCCCCGGCGGCTCTGGGGCCCGGCGCGCCTCTATAAATACCGCGGGCGCCAAGCTGGGCAGGCTGAGCGCGTGTGTCCGCGCCGCCGCGATGCAGCTGGGGGAGCAGCTCCTGCCCGGCGGCCCCTTCTACCGCAGCGGCGCGGGCTCGCCCCCACTGGACAAGGGCGCCAAGAAGCTGGGCGGCGCGATGCTGGAGGCTGAGGCGGGCCAGGCGCCGGGCTCCTTCGCAGTCGCCAAGACGGACGGACGCAAGGGCGCGGCGGGCGGCGAAGAGGAGCTGGGCGCGGGCGCGGCGCGGTACTCGCTGGACGGGCTCAGCCCGGAGC